CCCCCCCCCGGAGCCCGGGGCCCGCGCCCCTGCCCCCACCACTTACCCCCAGAAGCCGCAGGGACAGCGAGGCGGCAGGCTGGGCGCTTTGCTACGCTCGCTCCCGGCGTCTCCCATGGCGCTCGGCGGCGGCGGCGGCGGCGGAGCTCGGAGGCGACGGCGGTGGCGGCGGCTGAGCCCGGGCCCCGCTCGAGGGGAGCGGAGGCGGCGGAGGCGGCGGCGGCGGCGGCGGCGGCGGCGGGGGGCGCGGGGCGGGGGGAGGGGGAGGGAGCGGGCGCGCAGGCGGGCGCGAGTCCGGGACTCCGAGCCGGGATTCCAGGCCGGTCAGCTGGAGGCGGGCGGCACCACTCGGCCGGCGGGGCGGGGGGGGGGCCGGGGGGGGGGCGGGGGGGGGGGACGCTGCGGAGGAGGAGCTGGGGCGAGCGGGCGAGGGGGGACCCGGCGCCCTCGGCGGCTCTCTCCTCCGCGGTCCGGCCACGGCGCGGGCCCGTGCGGCGACGCTGGAGGGCTCGGGACCGGGTGGGGGACGTACCCGAGGCCCCCGCCGGCTGTGCAGTCGCAGCGGCCGGCTGTGACGCCCGCCGCCGCCCCCCACGCTCGCTCCGTAATCGCCTCCCCCCCCCCCCCCCCCGCTAGACGCCGCTGACCGGACAATGGCCGAGCCGCCCCCCTCCCCTCAGAGGACACCCCTCCCGAGGCGGCGCGATGGTCTCGCCCGGGGGAGCCGCCGCCGGAGGCGATCAGCTGGGAGCGGGGCGTGCCACTTTGTTCGGCGCCCCCGAGGCCGGGCGGCGCGTGCTCGGGCGGCCTCCCCGAGCGAGCGGCGCCCCGACCTCCGCCGGGTACCCCACGCCCCCGCCTGAGGCAGGGCGCCCGCGTTAGGGGCCCGCGGGGAGCGTCGTCCCCCCCCTCGTCAAGCAAATGGTACGTCCCGAGCGGGCGGGCGAGGGACGGGGATTAGTTGTTCGGGGTAAGTTGGGTCGGGCCCCGGGCGGCGGCGCATGCGCCCGAGGCCGCGGGGGCGAGCCCGGAGGAGGGTGGAGCCGTTCCAGACCCGGAAGTTGGCCGGTGTCCGCTGCTGTCGGCCTGGGTCTGCCACTGCTCGCCCTCCCGGCGGGCGCTGTGAGGCGTCTCTCCCCACCCTGCCGGCCCTCGGAGGACCTCCCCTCCCGTTTGCCCCACTCCCACCCCGCTCTTCCGGTGCCGCCCGGAAAACTGGCCCCGTCCCGGCCTCAGCGAGTTTCTGTAAAATGTATGCACACAACCTCGGCGGCGGAGGGAGTGTTTCACCCCGCTCAAGTCCTCAATCTCACAGTCCCAAGACCACTCCCGGTGTCTTGATTTGGAAGACCTTACGACTCCCTGGACGAACATGGTTGCTTTGGGGAAGAGACTGGACTTCAGTGGCCAAAGAAACTTGAGCCGTTGAAAGAATCCTTTAGTGTTGCTTATCTGTGCTCATGAACAATTTCTGTTCTCCAGTCAGTGGTAACCAGAATAGTCCCACTGTTCTGATCACTAATTTTAACACACACACACACACACAAACTTACACCAGAACCCCTGGACAAGTAAGCTGGCGTGTGGGTTTTGGAGCCAACTTGAAAGTCCAAAACGTCCAGGAAAGCTACCGTGTACCCTCTGAACCCCATGGGCATCCAGCCTCAGAGAATATTCTTAGATTAACTTTATTATCAATGGTACTTTTCCTTTCCTTTATATCAGCTTGTGCGTTCTCTGCATGTTAAGACTGGCATCCATTCGCTTGCTCTCTAAACTTACCAAAGAAAAACAAAACAAGGATAACATTGAGTTTATAATCCTTGGAAGGATGCTACTGAGGGTGAAGACAATGTAAAAATTAAGACATTTCATTCCACCATTTAATTCTGATTTTGTGAACTTTCACATGCCTTCAATAGAACTACTTTTGTCAAAAGTGCATAGTGGTGCATGCACAGGCTGGCAGATTTCTGTGAGTTCAAGACCAGCCTGGTCTACGTCATGAGTTCCAAGATAGCCAAGACTCCATAGAGAGACCATGCCTGGGGGTGAGGGGGAACACATACAGCATTCCTCATTCTCACTGGATTCATGTTACCCTTAAATTTTCCCTTGAATTGACATGTAATTGCCACACGTAATGAAAGACAGCCCTTGAGTGTAACGGAATGAATTAAGTCCCTCACACACATCTTGATGATCGTCTTTTTCTGTGTAGAAAAGAAAACCCAAAGGAAAGTTAGATGTAAAAAGTATTTGTCATCTGACAAACTGGTTGCCTGTCGGTCTGCCACTAAATTCAGCAAGCATTTATTGAGTACCCACCTTATCTACAGAGCTAGTTCTAGGAAAGCCAAGGCTACACAAAGAAACCGTCTCAAACAAAGAAACAAAAAACCCAGTGTGTGTGTGTGTGTATTCCAGTTTCCAAGGAAAAGAAACTGGTCAGCCTAGTTTATATCAGGTTGTCAGGCTTTGGTCCTATGTCACCTTCTGCCAATGTATCGGTGTAGTCAGGCTGCCAAAGACGCATCCTGGGGGGGGGGGGGGGTCGGTTCTCAAGAGGATCACTTGAGCCAGGCTCATGGCGGCACATACCTTTAATCGAAGCACCTTGGGAGTAGGTTCAGTCAGGAGAAGCTCTGAGTTTACGGCCAGCCTGATTTGTACAGGAAGTCTCAACCCAGCCAGGGCTACATAGTGAGAGACCTGTCTATAATGTTTTGTTTGTTTTTTGTTTTTGTTTTTGTTTAATTATTGCAAGGCTGGAAGGATTGCTCAGTGGTTATAAGAGCACTGACTGTTCTTCCAGAGGACCCAGGCTTAATTCCCAGCACCCACATGGCAGCTCACAATTGCCTGTAATTCCAGTTCTAGAGAATCTGGAACCCTCACACTGATGTACATGCAGACAAAACACCAATGTATGAAAGAATAAACAAAATACTTTTTAAAAGAAGCTGTACAAAAAAAATCATTGGGGGAAAAAAAAAGGATCAGTTGTCTTCTTGGGAAAGGTCCCAAAAGGTGTGTCCAGAAGACACCAAAAAGGAATAAAGTGCATCATGAAGTTGGGAAGCATTAAAAAAAAATGGACAGGATTGAGAATTTTCCGAGACTGGTTCCAATTTAAACTTCCCCAGGCCTTCATTTAAGTCACTGTCTCTCAAAGAAACCATCATTGGCACACCCTTATGTTACATGATCTTATACAACACTCCTTGCCCTGCAGCACCTGTCAGGGTTTACAGGAAACACAAACATCAGGTTTGTTTTGCCCACATGATTTACCTAAGACCAAAGGCACATTTGGTTTTTATGTTCAGTAGATATTTGTTGAGGGCCTTCTACATGGCTCGATGGGTAAGGGTCAATCTCAGTTCAATCCCTGAGACCCACATGTTAAAAAGAAAGAGGACAGCCAGGCAGTGGTGGCGCTCACCTTTAATCCCTGCGCAGAGGCAGGCAGAGTTCTGAGTTCAAAGCCACCCTGTTTCTACAGAGGGAGTTTCAGGACAGCCAGGGCTACACAGAAACCCTGTCTGGGGGTCGGGGGAGAAGAGAACTGACTCCCACGAGTCATCTTCTGACCACATGCATGATGTGACACACAAGCACACCCAACGTATATATACACACACACACACACATAACTGCATGCAATACAAATTTTTATCGAGTAAAACTAAAGGCAAAATAGTTTGTTGATCTATGTGAGGTCCTCATTAGGCCTAATGTTGCAAACCTGTAATTCCAGCTACTCTGGAAGCCGAATAGGATGATCACAAGCCCAAAGACAACCTGAGCTATGTGTGCATCTAGACAATTTAGTGAGACCCTGTCTCAAAACACTGAAAGGGAAGGGCTGAAGAGACAGCCCAGCAGCTAAAAATCCTCCTCTAGAGAACCCAGTCCAGTTTCTAGCGCCCACAGCCAGTGGTTCACAAACACCTATAACTCCAACTCCACGTATCTGATGCTCTCTTCTGGCCTCTTTGCACACCTGCACACACACACACACTCACACACACTTTAGATTTGTTTTTGTTTTTCCAGACAGGGTTTCTCTGTGTAACCTTAGCTGGCCAAGAACTGGTTCTGTAGACCAGTCTGGCCTTGAACTCACAGAGATCTATGTGCCTCTGCCTCCCCAGTACTGAGATTAAAGAGTGTGAGCCACCACCACCTGGCTCCCCCCCTCCCCCAAAAAGGTAAAAAGTTGACAGCCAAGGTTACACAGTAAATCCCTGTCTCGAAACAAAAGAAAAGTAAAAAGCAGCAAGGAGGTTGTGTCTCCATGTTACAGCACTTGCCTGTAATCCACCGACAAGGACCTGGGACGTGGCTCAGTGATGGGACATCTGCCTGGCATGCACCAGTGAGGGACTAGAGGTGTGCATTCTCAGTGATAGGTTCAGTCTCTAGTACTGCAAAATAAGAACATCGACAAAAAGGTGAGACCCATATACACATTGGCACCATTATCGTTGTTCTGTGAGGAAGGTCTGACTCACAACCTACCCTTGCCCTAGAAGACGGCAAAAGTGCTAGTTTTGGGGGAGCCACAGTGGCGGTGGGTGAAATAAGACATTCCCTGCCAGCCTAACTCTTCATCCTTGGTTCCCAGGGTCTGGACTTGAAGAGCACTCATCCATTTCCTCACAAAGTGCCCACCTAACTGGATGGAGGCTCAAAGGGGAAATAACATCTCAGGGTATCATCAGGTTAGGGGTCCAAAGTGTGGGGTAATTGGCAGAAGTGCTTTTGTCATAATTGTCTTGACTGTTTTCTGGTACCGATTGCATTCCAGACGAACCTGTGATGTGGCCCTTGGGAGTACTTTGCCTCCACCATTGGCCCAAAAGGAGCCATCAAACATGCTCAGTAAGAGCCAGGGAAGAATAACGTTGCCTCAGCAGCCAGAGCTCCTGAAGTAGCAGCTGAGGTTTTCAGGAGCAGGCCTCATGTGTCTCAAAGGCAGGGCCGCACAGGAGACCTTACTTAACCCTGAAAAGCAACCACAGAGGGACTTTAGGGGCCTGAGAGAAAGCAGATGATCCTCTCCTGGTTCTAATCCTAACCCCCACAACTCTCTCTAACCCCGATTTAAAGCCTTTCACTGCTGTAATTCATTGTAACCTGGTATTAGCCCCAGTATCCAAACCCTGGCCTGGACCTTAATCCTAATCCTCCTATTATCTGCC